CTCCCTCCCTCTCTAATATTATCTCCTATGGTGCTTTTTTCAAAACTTCCACGGGTGTTAAGGAAGCTCATCATAACTGGTTGGTGGGAAAGGACGACCAGTGGGCTCAATCGGACCCATGGGCTGCTCTTCCACTGGCCTTGGGGGCCTCAACCCCTCCCTTCAGTCACCTAATGGAGATGTGCTGACTACACTATGAACATCAGCATCCAGGCAATGGAAATCCTGGGCAATTCATGTTCCTCACATCAACCCCTATCTGTAGGCAAGCAAAAACACTGGCTCTGAAGGAGAGATAAAGCAAACCCAGCTCTTCAACAAAAGAAGGAAATAATTTTTTTCAGGAAAATGCATGCACTCTATTTGTACAGACATGGGTGCATCCATATATTTCATTCTGAAAAATGACATGGGTTTTAATTTAAGACTATTTATTTCTGAAATCAGAGAGTACTATCTAGTAGTGGTCAAAAGACACCAAGGCACTGACTCTTGATCTGTATCTGCAAGCAGAGATTCTACAGCCAGGATTGCAGAGACCTTCCATCTCAGGTGCTGAACAATATCAACAGTTTCACTCAGTGCTTGCTTGGGTACTGAAAGGAATAGACAGGTGAGACACACAAGAATTCCACTGTGAGCCTCAGACAGTGGTTGTTGCTAAGGGACTGAAAGCACATCAGAGTCAGTGTGTCCTGTTTGAGCCAGTTTGATCAGGGACTGGGGCTTGTGAAATCATTATTGGCCATGAAGGCAAGTGCAACTGGGCTGAGGGAGGCTGGGGAGCCATGGAGCATGATTTATTAAAAAATACTTTTTTATCCTGAAAATGTGATATCCAGTAAGACTGCAGCATTTTCCACCAGGTCCAGATGTTTAGGTGAAGCATTCCCAAATGTGGAAAAGGAATTTGCTTTCTACTTTAAGTAAGGACCAACACATTTCTTTCACTAAGCACAACTCTTTCAGGTATACCTAGTTTAGCAATAAATAGTACCTGATAGTGTGTTTCACTACAGTAGTTCTCGCTTAACAAACGTTCATTTAGCGACTTCAAAATTACGACGGCACTAAAGGTGACTTATAACCAGTGCCCGAAGTTACCACTGTTGGAGTGCCTCCGTGGTCATGTGATTGCGATCTGGGTGTTTGGCACCAGCAAGGACTCATGATGGTTGCAGCATCCTGGGGTCACATGATCGCCATTTATGATCTTCCCAGCTGGCTTTGGGCAAGCAAAATCAATGGGGAACCATGTGGTTCATTTAATGACCACCTGATTCACTTAATGACTGCTGCAAAAAGGTTGTAAAATTGGGTCTGGTCACATGATGATTCGTTTAACAGCCGCATCTCTTAGCGACATAAATTCTGGTCCCAATTGTGGTTGTTAAGCGAGGACTACCTGTATAAATAAAACTTCCTTTCTGTCTCTGATGATTGCCATTCAGTAACATAATCCTCAGGGCTAGAAACAGTAAACTGTGGTCGGTTTTCCTGAGGATCAAATGTACGGAGAAGAGGGCTGGAGTCTAGACAGAGAACCATTCTAGGAATCTCTACACAGTGCTTTCCTTTCCCAATGTCCTGGCAACCGAAACTGGTAACTCAAGCTTTGAGAAGATGGTGCTGTCCCCAGATATCAGGAGCAGATATTTGAATTTTTTGGTCAAAAACTTTTTTTTTCTAAGGAAAGGTTTCCAAGTATGCTTATACATTTGCAATATACAGCTATTTGGTTAATAGACACTGGTTTGAGTAATATATCTAAATTTAAAATCATTACTTTTTGAGGGGCAGCAAGTCAATAAGTGCAAGAGGAGGATTTGATCAGCTCTGGCCACCATCTCAATTGCACCCCTACCAGGAAGAGAAAGTGACAGCCAACGACCCATGCGCTGTAACCTCCAGCCAGGCTTAGTGCCACATACCATCTCTGGGGCAGATTTTGCAGGAGCACTTCTACACCTACCAGAAAGCTGTGAGGGTCTGAAAGTTGATAGTTTCCAGGACATGTTCAGGAGCATTTAATTCTAACAGTAACATGATGAAAATGCGGTGATAGGGAAGTTGCTGAAATTCACTCTGACGAACATCATGATCCTGCAAAAGAACTCCCACCACTATCCCAAGAACCTGTAAATACGAAGGAATGAATTTGCTTAGAATGTAATAAAACCACTTTGAAAGTGCACTACAAAGGTAGAGATTAGAGAAAATTATAAGCAACAGTTTATGGAATATTTTATTTTAAAAATTTAAAAATATTTTATCTCATTCAAGGGAATATTTTATGCTATAGATATCTAAGGCAAAGCCACTACATTCATTTCTTTACAAGAGTGTCTAACAGAATACTACAAATTAATCTCCTTATAAGTATTCCTTAAGTGGTCAAAAGATTTACTGTGTAATAGTTGAACAACCCATACAGGTATGCCGATAATCCCACAGGCTGAGGGTCAGAGACACTGAATTGCTTAACATGCAGAATATGAGTTGCAATTTAAACCAGGGTACTCCGTTTTGTCTCTGTAACACCATGTTATATAAGTGACATAAAGTAAATGCATTATAGCTCCTTACCCAAACTAGCAGTCTGGCAGAAATAAGGACACCACTAACCTTATTAAGCAGGTTGATTTTGGTGACTGTGTTGGTAGCCTCTCCAGAGTGTTTCACCAGCAGCGCAATAAGGCGCACAAAGGCATCCAGGTTGTGATAGCACTTGGCACGGATCATAGTGGGGTTTGCAGCAGGGTTGTGTTGCTGCTCAGCTTGAGCACGATAGCTGATTTCAACACACATTTCAGTGCAAAGACGAAAGAATCTTGTGATCAAGTCATCAGTTTTCAGAATTCCTTGTTGATGCATCTGTTTGGGGATGACAATGAACTCACATTTAACAGAACTTATCTTTAGTACAACAAAGTATTATATTCTATAAAACATGTTGGAAAGCAGTGGATGTAATGGGCTAACAGTGGATTAAATCTCAGCACTTCACTCACTAGGGGTGCATTACCAATGCCAGTCATTGAGGACCCAGACAGAACACCGAGGAGCTGTGTGCTGGCCAGAAAGCCCACAGGGCAAGTTCACCCTGCATGTAGTGATTATTAACACCACACACTGTTGGGATATGATAAAGCAAAGGTACAATCCTTATTGTGAGTTCTGCTCCTGGAGGACCATTCCAGGTCCTTGAAGAACAAGCAAGCTGATAAGCAATTTGAACCTTACTTGTGTGCTCTTAAGAGAGGTATCACTTATAGCAAGGAATGCTCTCAAGTCATTGAAGAAATGGATATTTCACTCAGAATGAAGCATGCAAATGTACACACTATTTATTGACAGTGACAGTATTTCAATGTCAACTTATTCAGGAGATAGTTTATTCTAATGACTCTGTAGAGAGTTTTCAATTTAATGCTAAACAAACTATGGCAGGAATTGCAAACTGAATGTAGATATAATATTATTAATATACCACTATATCGTTTAAAATATGCTAATGAACAAGGACAGGAAGTTAAAATTCTACAGATTGCTATTAATTCTCAAATATAAGGACAACATATACAATATAACACTAACACAATAGGAATAAAGGTAATTTCATTCTTAAATTAATGTATAAGTCATTTCCTCAGAGACTACCTGAGATATACGCATCATTAAAAGAGGAGAAAGGTAGTTTCATTAATCCTGTTGCCATGGACTCAGTAAACATTCATATTCCAATGTATTTTCATGCCAGTTAAATATAGAAAACCTTTTGTTTCACCATATCACACAAAAGATCACCTTCAATGAATACTAGCAAGGTGTGATACTTATCAATGTTAGCAGTTATCAAAACTCTAGGTGAAATTCAGAGAGTAAAGTAGTAAACTCTACTAAAGGAAGCCATTAAATCAACACATAAAATAAGAAATAATTCACTGGTATTTTATTGTCTGAGCTACTAATAAATATTTTCCTCATTTGGCAATGTTATTCTTTGAAGATGTGATCTTTCAAAATAAAACTCTGACTTTGGAGGGCTCAAGGTGAATTTCATATAAACATGTCATAAAAAATAGTTGGAGCAAGTTTAAGAAAACCAAAATGTTCAGGATCAGTCAGTACAGAAAAGTGAGATAGGGTTTTGCTTTACATTTCTCAGCCTATATTCCTGAAGTAACTTTAAAACACTCTGTTAGCTCCTTGGCCACTTTCAAGATAGATAGTCTGTTTACTCCATCTCTCTGTTCAAACTGTGAACAATGGAAGCAAGTTGCTAGCATTGGATAATTATGGAAAGAGCACCCCTAAGCAGCAAAAGCTCTGAGCCAACTGGTAATAGATGAGCATGAAATGCAAAGGTGGATTTGTATTAGGGTATACAAATGTATCTGGGCAAGGATGGGTGTCTTTGCGCAAACAGCTCTAAATAATTTGTTTCATCCAACAATACTGTGAAATTGATAATTACTAACACTTTTCCATAGTAGGATTAACTGTTGGTTGGTCCTGAAACTGCCAGAGTGCTTTGGCAAGATCAGTAGTGCATACAATTCTAAAAGCTTTGGGTGTAGTTCCCAGAGAGTCTCCAAAAATTGCTACCAAATTATGACTATGGACAATAATCAGTTGTCGCTTTCTCCTTGGTAGTTCCTTGATTAGGCTATTGTTTTCTGCTTGAAGTTATGACTTTTAATGTGCCAGAAAAAGGATTAAATACATGGTGGACAATCAAGATAACTATATTGATTAATTTAATGCAATTATTTAATTTTAATTTATGGGAAAATGTATGGATCCATAGCAAAAATAGTTAAATGTTTTGGAGTACAATATCCAACGTATTCAAAATGTAGGTCTTTAGCCCCGCCCCCAAAGCTGCAGTCTACACAAGATTGTTAAAAGGGGGTCAGTTATGTCCTAGAGGTGCTTAGCATGCTACCAAGCCAAAGCCCTATTTGACTTATGGCCCAGGTACCTGATGGGTCACCTTCCCCCTTAGAGACTGCTTAGGTCATTAAGTTCTAGTAGGAGGTGACCTTCACAGCAAAGGATCTGCCATGTATTCCCAATGTGGCAACCATAATACCTGTTCAGTTACGATTGGCAGCAAACTTTTAAAATTTCCAGTACCAGCTGAAACCTTATTTGTTCAACAGAATTTGTCCTCCTTTGTTTACTGCTATTGCCCTTATTAGCATCCTGTAAAATGTTTCAGTTATTTGTAATTTTACATTATTTAACTTCTTTTGCAATTTCATATTGTTTATTTTTGCTTTGTACCCCTGGTTTAGGCTAATAGTTTAATGATGGAAATAGGTAGTAATTTTCATTCAAACTATTTAATATATATTTCAGTACACTGATGTGACAGAATCAATACTATGCAACTCTTTACAAGTTCCATGATCATTTTGCCATAGTTTTGTTGAAAAAAAAGCACCTCTCTTTCCCCAAGTTCTACCTGTCCAACAAATGCAGAGAAGGCTTTGGTACTGTCACGGCCAGCTGCTGCAGAGTGATAAAGATTCACCCATTCCCTCAGGAGATATTCTGCCTTCTCTCTCAGGCCTGGAGGATCATCATATTCTGAGGCTTGAGAAATCCCAGAATGCATCATAAAGTTTGGTCCTCCATGAGCACGATCAATCATGGCTTCGTAGTTGGACCGTACCACTTCCATCAACTGTGGCAACCTGTAAGTACCAAAGTGGTAAATTCAGATTCTGGATATCTAGAGCCCATCTAGCATACATTCTTTTACAAACTTGTATCTCACTTTTCCTCAACAGATATCAAGATGGCATATATTATCCTATTTCTTTTCTCTCAAAGAAAAATGGTAAGGTAGGTAAGTCAGACACAAGAAACCTGTCCAAAGTAATACTTAAAGCTGAACAGAAATTTGTGCCAATTTCAAGAGAAGGGTTAGTGCTTGATATTAGCAAATGGATCTGCTGAAATGGGCGAAAGTCTGGCCTCCACTTAATTATACGAGGATTATCCTATCCTCACCTCTCCCAGTAACTGGAATATTATGGACAAAAACACAGTGAGATAAAATGGATTCCAGGTTGGATGGATAACATCCTCAAGGGCATTAGGCAGTGCCCCTACTGACACAGGAGGAAAGTGAGGCAGGAATGACAGAGCAGCTGTTTTTGCAACAAATTATGAGTTTCCTCTGGCAACCACCATTGGTAACTTAGCATTACCCTTCTGGGGCATTTCCTCTGGAGTGAGCATTTATCCTCATTAGAGTTTCAATGGTATGGAACAAATCTGCTTCTGTCATGTGAGCTACACTTCTCTCATCCACCAAGAGGATCTTCACCAGCTGCATTGCAAATGCCACCGCCATGTAGTTCAAGCCATTCTCCATAGACTGTAAACAACAAGGATGTCAAAAAAGTGAGCCATGTCCATTCCAGAGCATTTATATAGTCTTCATGAAAGTAAATGCCAATAACTCACCTGAGCCAGGTGGAGGTCATACTGTTGCATGTTAACTAGATGATTACGTATCAGGAGCTCCACTGCTTCTACGTTGTATTTATATTCATCTCGACACTCAATCAGGCATCTGGAAAAGTTTGTCACTTTCTTATGTTAACTTGGTTTTCTTCTAAGTCTCAACAGGCAAAGATGGATTAATTTCTCTTTCACGTGTCCCCTCAGTTTAAGCATACAAGGGTAACGTCTTGGCCAGTGGCAAGGAAGCCAACAGAAAGTAGCAGCGAATTAATTCTAGCTGACCCTTCCACAAAGGGCTGGAAATAGCCAAAACAAATCCTTCCAGGCAACTGATGACACCAGCACAAATAATTTTCGCTCTACCTGCCACATAGCAATAACCTTCAAACTAATGTCATTTGTTATGGCTCCACATGAAGGATTCATAGGAAATTAAAAACAGAAAGACACTATAAATGACTAAGTTTGATTTCTGTCATTTTGTGATGCGATATAACCATTTTGATATTAATTTCAGAATATAAGTTAATCATGTCAGAGACATTACTTCTTTTATTTAAGGAGTTTAGAACCACAGCAGCACTAAGCACGCAATATAAACTGTAAGCTTATACAGGGCCAAGAATAATATTAAATCTGAATGTCTAGTGGAGTCATGTTAAGCAAGACACAATTTATATATTCAACAATTATGTCAACAGTTTATAGGAGGCAGTTTGTGAATACAGGGATTCAATCTAAGCCCTGGAATGGGCTATGCAAAATGCCCAAAATAGCTATTTTGATTGCCTAAGCTCAGGAGAAAATACCCGCATTCAGAGAGTTTTCTTCCAGCCTCAGAAAAAATACACTGCTTTATACACAACTTGGGGAAAAAAAGACAAGACAGTTTTGAATACATTTTGCTCAACAGAAAAATTAATTTGCTTTTATAGGAGGGTTACAAGTTTCCTTTTTGAAATGTAACAGCCTATGTTCTATAGCTATTCAGAGCTGTCCTTTGGAGGCAGTTGATACATATGCAAATTCTGCTTTAATTATTTGAGGAGAGCTATTAGAGACAAGCCGGATTTATAATGGAAAAGTACACTTATGTACTTTTTTTTAATGTAGTCACGAAGAAGCCTTTATCAGACCAACAGCCAGAGAAGTCTATGTATGAATGTGGGGCTTACTTTTTTGCTTAATTCATTCTCATTGTTTCCTAACAGAATTTTAAAAGAGGTTTTCAAAAACATAATTTTTCTTTAGGTTAACAATGAAGGAAGAGGGGCTTCAAACAGTTTGAAGATCTATTCTGACAGAGCTCACAACCCGTGTGCTCCATGTTTTGTTTCACTGAATTCAAAACAGAAGGAACATTCTGACTGGATTGTTTCATCCCAAGTTCAGAACAAAATGTTTTTTCAGTTTCATGCCTTCTCTATTTTGTAGAGAGATTAACTCTTCCGAAGATGCTTGAATCCCAGTCCTGATAGTTTTCTTTTTCTTCTACCAACACATTTGCTTTTTTACTAAGGAAACTGCTATGATATAAACCATGTGATGGTCTTTCAAAGCTTACCTCCTGCCCGTCATCATTACTGACCTTGTTATCTGCTTGTTACACCAGGGAGACCCATAGGCACGGCCATCTTGCAGTGCTTTTAATACAAGCAAATGACATTCGCGGTACCGGAGGAGGAGGTCTGCATCTGCGCCACTAGTGGCGTCTAACAATCCTTCAACGGCCTGTCAGAAGAAGAAAGAGTAAAGAATTTTCTGACAGAAGAAACCCTGTTTTCTGACTGGACCACTGATATCTTTAAAATTACAATGGAATATTTAACAACTCTCTTCCTTTATCATGCACAATGGTGCCCCACAAAACCTCCAGTAAGTTAATTCCCTCCTGAATAGATATAATCCACCTTCTATTTTCCAAAGAAGCAGCTCCAATATGTATCTTTTTATCCAAAGGCATAACTTCTGCTTCTGAAAACTATTTGAACAAAGGATTCTGGAGGTGAACTGCTGCTCAAGGGACAGTAGTGTCAATAAAACTTTAGATTCCTGGACCATGGACTACACTATCTACCTACAGGAAGGGTTTCTGGCAAAAGCCTATACAATCTTGGGCTGCATCAAGAAATACATGATGTCAAAATCACAGGACGTGATTGTTCTGTTCTATGCTGTCTGGTGAGACCACACCTGGAATACCACTCCAGTTCTGGTGGGCACAATACAAGAAGGGTGCTGAGAAACTGGAAAGAGTATACAGAAGACTGACAAAAGTGATGAGGGGCTTAAAGGCTAAATCCTATGAAGTACAGTTAAATGAACTGGGTACATTTAGCCTAAGGAAGAGAAGGCTAAGGGGAGGCACAATAGCAGTCTTCTGATATTTCAAGGACTATCACAGGAAAGAAAAGGTGGATTTGTTCTCCACAGTGCCTGAGGGTAGGACAATGTCAGCCCTTTGTGGAAGGCAGGTCAAAAAACAGACACCGCAGGGATTCCAAGAATACTATTTTATTATTTTAGGGTATAGTAACAGAATCTTGAAAGCTTGCCCAAGTTGTGCTCTGTCCCATCTTATACTAAACAAAATCAAGGCAGAGTTATTTTGAGTTTCTTTCTCATGTTTGCTTCAGTCTCTGGACTGTGTAATCTTTTCTGTACTCCTTAATAGTTATTTCATTATCTTCCATAAGGTCATCTCCAAATTCCTTTTCGGGCAAAAAACAACAGGTGGAAGTTGTACAGAGGGAGGTTCTAACTCAAAGGAAGGAAGGAAGGATTTCTTGACCGCAAGAGCTTTTAAGCAGTTGAACAGCCTGCCTCCTGGGGTTGAGGGAGGTTTTCAAGCAAATGGACAGCTCTTTGTCTGGGATAATAGGAGGATTCCTGCCCTGGGCAGGGGGTTGGATGAGCAGACCTCTAAGCCCCTTCCAATTCTATGGTTCTGGTCAGCACTTTTATTATTTAACTATGGAGTCAACCAGTAGCTTAGCAGGGATTCAGGCGGCAGATAATTTCAGAAATGGAGCATTTTACTTGATTGAGCAAAGCAACTGGCCACACCAAAGAGGCTGGATTTCAATTCTCTTCCACGTTTTATAGACTGAGTATAATGCTGAAGGATGACGGAGAAGCCAATATTAGTAGTAGCAGCAGGTGATGTGCCAGAACCTAAGATCTTAGTTAAACAGGTGATGTATAATAAATAAATAGTTCAGTTAGCCCGACTAATGATTTCATATGGAACCTTGCGATTGTTGTTTGCACTTGTTTCTCCTATATTATTTTTTCATCAGTAAATTTTCTTATATCTAAAGATTGGATTTATTTGTTTGTTTATTAAATTTATATGCCGCCCATCTCCCTCAGAGGGTGACTCCAGACGGCTCACATAATAAAAACGGATTTTAAAGGGAATTTCTCATTAAAACTTTTTCCATGTGCAAAATTGAGTAGTTATACAGCTAGCCCGTAAGTTTTAGGATTGGCATGAGGTTTATTACATTCTGTATTGCTGGGCTTTGGGGATTTTTGGCTGTTTTTTTCCCCTGGGGCTAGGCTGAAGGGAGATAACTTTGGTCAAAGGGTTAAGAACTTCTCAGCTAGACAGTCTATGGTATATTAGGAAGTTCAGTCTGACTAGTGACAATCTATCCCAATTATCTCTCACTGAGAAACCTTGGAAGAAAAGTCCACCACCCTCTCTGCTTATGTCTTCAGGGAAAAGCTTTGCAGCTTCTCCTGTAGCAACGATGAAAATGTGACCAAGCACAGCCTAAGGCAGAAGAAAACAGCTTGTTTTCCAGCTTCTTACTAGGAAAAATATTCAGCTTCAATGGCAGTTCTTCTTGGGATTGCAGAATAGATAGGAGTCTGCAAACAGTCTGCCCTGATCCTTCAGACAGGGACTATGTAAGTACATAGTCTTATAATCTATTTTAAGGTGCTTACAATCCAAATCCCACCATCTTTATGGAGACCTAGAATCTGTTCTCTCCACAAAAGAAGTGACAAAGATTTACAATGAGTTCGCACACAAACCTTTTGTAGCAATCCAAGGGCTGCAATAGCATCTCGAGAATTACGAGCCACAACAACAGCCTCCAAAAGGCTTCGCAAAGCTTGTGTCTGTGGATTCATGGCCAGAGTGTGAGGAATGGACTGCAGGTGCTGTTCCAACTCCGCCATGCATTTATCGTAGATCTGTGCCACGTCATCTGTCGCCCAGGCTTGCTGAATTAGGATGAAACAAAGACCTAAGTCAGTTCACTGAGGAATGATCCTTCTAAATGCTTGTTTTTAAAAAATGCCTTTGAGTTACAGTTTTCATCAGGAGCATTATTATCAGCATCTTTAAAACCATTTTAAAACCATTCTTTTGAAGAATACTGTTATTAATCTTCACTGATCTCCAGAAGCCACTGGATAAAACCCTCTTCTGCCTCAACTGGACGACTACCTTCATAGGCTGGGCCAGGATTCCTGTAGGTTGGGTCGAATCATTTGTTGGTAAGAAACCAGGAACATTCCGTGCAAATTCTTCATATACAGCTAGCTGCTTTGGGTCCACACCACCAACCTTAAAACAAAAACAAAAGAATGTTAGCAAAATACTCCCACATCTGTATTCATATCAAAATTCAATCAAACTACTATAGTTGGGAATGGATGTCCTCAACTACTCTTGTTTGCAACTAATTCGGGAAAAGAGACTACATTTATTGCATTACCTACTGAGTAACACAATAAGATATTCAACTAAAATGTATCAGTTTAAGCACTTGCACAGGTCCTTCTAGTTTACATGTTTAATTAGAAGCCTGCTCTTTTCAAGGTACGTTTAATGCTATTTTCACACCAACGATATGGCACTAAGCAACCGCATTCAGCATGATTCCACTGTGATAAAAGGACGCTTGTAGCCCTCCAGACACGGCGAACAACAGCTTCCCAGTAGCACCAGGGAGTGTAGATGGTAAAGAGGATAGGAGAGCTACAATCCCAGCCCCCACAGTAATGCTCCAACAGATGTGCACAACTTTTGCTTCATTGGGGTTTTGCCCAAAGGGAGTAGTATACCAACTTTCAAACACAACTAGAGAACCTTCACTATAAACTTCTTCAATCGTTCCACAGAGGAAGAGAAAGCAAAAGAAGATACAGAGCATAAATGGGAGGCCTATAGAGTTCCTATTCTTGCTAGAAATCTAGTTGTGTATTACATGTACACAATATGCATCACTCACCAAGCTCAATGTGCCTGATGACAAAACCAATTCCCAGTTCTTAGGCAACTAGCAGAAGAGCAGGCAAGAAAGGGATTCCACCTTGTTGGCTTTCCGCAAGCTATTAAAAACAGAATTATTCCAAAGAGTATTTGGGGTATGAAGTATTTCCACTGATTTTATTGGTTCTCTAACTGTTTATATGTTAACTGTTGACTGCTTATATCTCCTTTGTTTTATATGTGTATTATGGACGTTTTAATGTGTATTCTGAATGGTGATTTTATTTGTATTTATTACACCAAGAATGTTTAACATATTTTATAAATGCATTATCAAGATCTCTTGATTGCAGCAGGCATAAATGGAATATTTTTTTAAGCCTATGTCCACATTTGGAACAAGACAGAGAATATCAGATTCTGCCAGAGGCTTTAATGAGTCAAGGCGTCTAAAGGAAAAGTTACTGAATCTATAAGCCTCACACTCAAATGGACATCTATGTGGTATAGATGAGTAACATATTTTCCAATAGTATACTGATATCAGAATTTACAGTGTATCTCTCTCCACTGTGAAGAGGAAAAAGCTTTCATTTACTGAAGGTAATTGCCATAAACTTTCCAAAACACAAAAAGACTATCTGCATGTTTGAATTTGAGATCTGTAAATAGACATTCCAACCCTCTGCTCAGAAAGCTCAGGAACCACTATCATAAAATGGCTCCACCAACAAAGGAAATACGTAACTCTTCCGACCAAAGAACTGCACCTTCTCCATGAGAAGGAACCATACCAGAAACATCACATTCCAAACAAACTCTCTCAAAACAGAATGCTTCTGGGAGCGGATCAGATTTTAAGGGCCACAGAATTGCAGAACAAGCTTCATAGCCAGATCCAGGGCTGGAGGGACTAAAGCCTGCCTTCTGAGTGTTAGGGTGAAATCCAACCTGGCCAACCAACCCAGTAGGAGAAAAAGGGAAATCAATGAAATCAAGATTGGAAATGGGTAAAATGAGTTTTCCTTTCCAGCTTCCTTCAGAAGGCCCTCCAGACTCTGTTTGGAAATGCCATGAATAGTCTGCAGGAGGAGGAGATCTGTCCTCAGAAGCAATAGTGAAAGCAAAACTAACATTTTCCAGCTGCCCAGAATTGTAGCAAACTAGAACATGCACTACAAAAGTCAACCTGACAGAGACTTCCCTGGCTGTTTCTGCTGTTGAAAAGGTACCATGATGGGATAGAAGCAGAAAACAATTTCTGTCAGCATGATATTTCTCTATTTTGTATTGGATTTTAATTTTATTCTTGTTATATTGTGAGCTGTCAAGAATTGGTTTGGAGTAAGGCAATGCCTAAACTGAGAGTGTGCTGTGGGAAGGGTGGCTCTATAATTAATTTAAATAAATAAATACATAAATTTAAAGTAATTAAATAAAACAAATAACCAAAAAAGTTATCTAAAACCAGGCAGGCACATTATTTAAAATATATCTGAGATGTATTTTGGATGAGAAATGTATCTGCTTCAGTGCTAAGTTCTTTGATTTATTATTATTTCTACTGACTGTGACAACAAAGAGTTTTTAACATGTCCTATGAAATGGTCACTTAGATGTCAGAGATTAAAAGAAACCACCCAGAATTAAATCAATGGAGAAAGACGCTGGTTTTCAGCAACAAGAAAAAGGGAAACCCTCTCAGAGCCAGTAATAAAGGCTAACAGGTAAGCCCTACCTTGAGTCTTGGGGATCAGCATCAGAATGCAGAAAAACACAGCGATAAGAAGAAAACCAGGAGATTACATAAGTGGTGGGTGGGGGAATGAAAAGGGTAATTATATCAAGAATTCAAAAGTCTAAAATTTTAGAAATCTCCAGAGGAAGATATGAGAGAAATACCTATTGTCTGGATTTTGAGTTAGATCAACAAGCTCTCCATAGGGTTCCCGATCAACAAACAACAGCAAGAGCTGGTGGAAGCCTTGGAAAAGTTTCCTACCATTTAATAACACAGAAATAATTATTTTCCAGGAGATCTACCGAAGAAAAAGATTAGACACAGGTAGATTTTTCTTGCTACTGTGAGAGGAAAAATGCGAATAGCCTAAAATTTATTTTGATATAGATATATGTTCCTTAATCACATTTAATCATAAAACCAAGGGCTAGCTTAGAGATGACCTGTGGGGCACTGACAGGAAATAATACTTGCAAAACCAG